ATACCATTTTATACACATGCGCAGATCGATTCGCCAGCAGCGAGTCATCGCCAGCAGCAGCGAGTCGCCAGCAGAGAGATGTCACTGCAGCAAAACACTATTGTACCAACGCTGTTCTAATAATATATAGACAATGGGTCGTGCTCATATCATTTATATTTTTATTATTCATTATTTTCACTTGACTCGCATAAATAATTTTGTTCGAAGAACATTTTATGCAGTTGTACTTCACAGCACTTCACTTGCAATTTGCAATTTCTAGTTTTACCATTTTTTTAATTCTTTTCATATAAGTTTGCAATGGTGGAGGTTGTCATCACAACTCTTATTGATGGCTTTCCAAGACTGAAGCCCTTTTATTTCAATCGTAAAGAAGTTCTTGTGTTGTACGTTTGTCTGTTTACCTTTGCTTGTGGTATACCGTGTACTTTTGAGGTGTGTATATTCAAGCATAATTTTTATCTTAATATATTTTGTATTTTAACATATATCTTTAAATTTAATCAAAATTTAGACAAGACATATTATACCTTACGTCATGAATCCACCGCCCACCAAAAACGGTGTTTGGGAATAAAAAGAACATTTTCGTTTTGGCCTTTTATCAAACCACCTTAAAAATAAGAATTTTACACCCACTGCCGATAATTTGTCTAGACAGCATTACTTTTTCTCCTCATAATTAAATAAATTTAAAGAATTTTATCAATTTGAATAATAACTGTTTATTTTTTATTGTATTTTCACATTTCAACATACTTGCAGAAGAAACATTCCACTTAAAGGCATTATGAAGACATAAATTTAGATTACTTAAACTAAAAGTAAATAACATTTTTCCTTGCTTATGATAGTGTAGGAACTTCACCGATTATTGCGAGATCCCTTTGGGCCAGATTTTGGAGGCCTGGAGCATTTATGTAGAAACATATTTTACTTGGTTTTTGAAGATCTGCTAAATTGTCAGACATTGCTTTCAGGGTGGCATGTACTATTTCCAAATAATTGATTGGTATGTTTCTGTGGTGTCAATCTTCTTCATTGCGATTGGTGAAGTTGTCGCTGTTAGTTGGCTATATGGTAAATATGATGGATGTTTTTCTTAATTATGTGTTGATTAAAATACTTAAAATGATAAATAAATTGAAACAATTTACAGTAAAACGTCCATTTTACGAATAGTCGATTTTACGAATGGTCTTTGCTCCTTTTGACGTTATCATCAACCAATTAATACCGTAAAAAAAAGTCCAATTGCGAACGTTTTACAAAGTGATAATGTATATTTTTCTTAATAAAATCAAGTTTGTTGTATATATTTATTATAGTTTAATTTTTTTCTTCCATTAATGCTATAATAATTACTATATTAATACTATATTAATGTAATAAATATCACCAGAACAATGAACTACCAATGCAAGTATCGTTGGATTGAGCGCACATGTGTATGATGACAAATAAACAAAAGTGTTGGGGTCAACAACTTATTGGGATCGCAAAATGCATGTAAACAACAGAATTTGGCAATCTAAAAACTAGAAAGAACACGATAGAAAGGTCCATAAAACATAGATGTTTCAATAAGTTTAAACAATATTTTGTTATTAGTGGAAGAATTCCAGCGATTACAATAATTTGTTTTTTATAGAAGGTAAAATTAGCTAGGCTCTAGCGCGGTAGACCACGCTGCTGCACTGTCGGTTTGTTCTAGGCCTGGCTGCCGTTCAGCCTATCAGCGCTCAATGGCAGAGGGTAGCTAGGCCTAGGAAACTGACACCCGATCTAGTTTACAAATTTTTCAATTTACAAAACACCCCTTGGTACCAAGGGGTATGTAAATGGACAAGTAGTCAATTCCGGGAGTTAAATGAGCTCTTCTGACACATCTAATTTTATTTTGCTGCATACGGTGATATACATTGACATTGATTTCTGTGAGACAATTTATGAAAAACAGTATAAATGTTATGAATTTGTGGAAAATGGGTTATTTTCCATGCGATTCTTGCCTGCAGGAGTGCGGGATGATATCCTGGTGTCCAAGAGACCTGCTTTCCTCTGGACCCTAAATTCAGTTTGATGGTTCAAAAATGTTTCACTCAAAAATTTGTTAATTTTAACACCAGTCATCTTATATGATCTTGTACAGGTGCAGGAAGGCTGAGAAGGAACGTTGAAGAAATGACCTCTTCTGCTCCAAACCTTTACTTTGTGTCATGTTGGTTCATCATATCTCCTCTTCTTATTTTTGTAAGTGCCACCTTATTTTATGTCATTTTTAAATAATTGGTGTACAATATCATTGTAACCTTGCACCCTGTGCGTTACTATTTTCGGTTCTGGTAGAGGTAGAAATGAATCAAACGCGTAGACAACGTAGAATTAACATAAATGGTACATGCTTTATTCTTGCACGGTGTACATCCACTGTGTACGATATCACATGTTACGATACGTTACGTCTACGACTACGTCTACGACTACGTCTACGACTACGACTACGTCTACGTCTACGACTACGGTTTAAACTGAAATGCAATACAAACAAATGATCATAATAATATGAATAATAAAAGAAATAATACTATCAATAATGATAGATAATGCTAATACAGTATTAACAACAATAGAATAAAACGATAATAACTATAATACAGTAGCAATATACCGGTACTGTAATACTAATTAAAGGAACATAGAAAAGATGATCTAAGCAACACTACAAACAATACCTATGAATGAGAGCAAATGGCCTTGGCAACCTTCAATTTTAGGTGTTTAGTCTAATTACCGAATGCCTTATACTGAGTAGGTAGGCCGATATTAATTAGCTGTACTCTCAAATACTTCCTAAAGTTTACTTACAAATAGTAACTAT